ACGTAAGAAAGTAGAGGAAGAGATGGAGTTAGAAGCCTAAAAGTTGTTTCAAGAATGAGGTTCAGCACCCCTTCTCATGCCAGTCGTCTGGCGCACCACTCATCAGAAGCTTTGAGGACTAAGAGATTTCCAAGCCGTTTAACTAAAAAAAGCTCAGTTAAACCAGTTCTCAACTTAGTTTCAAGTAGATAGTAAAACAAAAAGTATCTTAAAGCCTGTAAGCACCCAATAAAAAACATTTTAGGACACAGGCAACAGGTCTTTGCTAGTGACTCTCCAGTAGATTCCAGATCCCTGTGACCATCGTGCTTACTAGCAGCACATACGAGTGACGAATGCAGCCATCAGTTGCAAGCTGGGCTTCTAGAGCTTAAGCTTTAAACCTGTGGGTGACTGGGATCTGTATCAAGCCTCAAGTCTTTCTAGGTTTCTTTTCTACATGCTGAGCAGCTCTGAGTGACTCCACATGCCATTAGTTTGACAGATTATTCCAGGGCTCTCACCACACCAGTAGCTGATCATGTCTGTTTCCTCACTAAACAGCAATTCCTCTATCCAGAATCTGCTTTTCCAACTACTTTTTAAGCAAGAATATTCAGCACCACTTCCTTTTTCTCTCAGCTCTTCCTTCTCAAACCCAACGCCTACACCTCCACATCCTTACTCATTTAGCTCCCCACTCATTCATCTGTCTCTGCTCTCACTCTCCAACTGGCTACTGAATACACCAGATTTTTCCATTTGTCCTCACATCAAATCAGAACACCTTGGTTTGTGCTTCTACTACTTACCCCTGAACATAGGCATGCCCAAATAACTGAGCTTGTTTAACGTTTCAGAAAACTGAACAGAGAGTGTTGGTTCAACAGGCCTTGCTGATCTTGGGTTTCACATTATGCACTACCACACAATTCATTCTGGCTTCAACAAAACAATGGAATGAGCACAGTGAAAACCAGTACCACTTCCCATCAGGCTTACAACAGCAGTGGGATATGTTCTAAGTTGACCCATTTTGGAGACTCTATGAAAGGGGTCGTTTCCTTCATTATAGTTAGAGAGGTACCTAAAGAACAGCCATTCCCTGTAACTCTTACAGATCATTTCTCCTCCTTCCAACTTGAAATTCATGGACTTAATGGTTTTATTCGAGATAACAAGCTCAGCATCTCAAAATACTGTTTTCTGACACCATGAGTTTTTCAGCATCTAGCACCTACAACTGAGAGTGCACGTTCCGTAAGGCACAGACTCCAAAAAGCATCTGTAGTGCTTTAAAGGCTTAGTAAAGTGCAAGTATAATTTCAATCAAGGATATCTACCTCCTTCATTGAATCCATTGCTTAGGTAAATTGTAGCAGAATCGGCTGGAGCATGAGACTTAAGTTGAAGATCAGGGATTTCTAACTGAACTACGAGTAACAGGATGGTTCCTCCCTTTTTAGGCCCTGCTTCATATTAAAAAAAAAAAAAAAAAAACCACAAAACCAAACCAACCTGTAATCCAGAACAGAACTTGAAAAATTTAAACAAATCTGATATAGATAAGTGATGAAAAACATTACAAAACCCCACCAGGAAGAAAAGCGCTTAAGCCATCATCTACATAAACAGGCACCCAGTTGATACACATTGTTGTTCTGCTTCTGCTGCAGGTAAAGGCATAGGCATCAGAATACAGTACACAGCTAGTTTTTCTTAGCAACAAGGGAAATCCTCTTCTCACAATAAAACTCATTTTAAGTGGCTCCACTGTGAAAAGGGTAACTCTCCATGTCCACACACCATCTTGAAGAACACACACAGTACAAGGACTGCTTCCCAACATATAACCTAAACCCCACCTTTTTTCACGCCACACTTCTCTTCCTAAGGCTCTTCAAGAGCAGCCACCTGGCTCAGCTCTCGCTCATTCTAAGCGGATGGATTTCCCATCAACAGCTGCACTGGTGCCGAGGCTGTTGAGGTCAGCACCAGAGGACTGCTATGGGAAACATGCACTAATACAGACCTGTCCTGCTGCTGACCAGCACCACCCAGTTCAGCCAAGGAGCTACAGTTACTGCCCATTTATGGGATCCTAGTGAGCAGGCTGGTGGTTCAGAAAGGCTGCCCAGAGCAGGAAAAAGAGGTGGCAAAGGCAATCGAGACCAACGTCACAAAAGTCAAAATTTAGTCACCTTATCTTCCTCTGCTTTTTGGATTACCTAAATCATATATGCTGCAGGGAAGGGGAGAGCAATAAAAAGGCTTTGGTAAGACTTGTGCATTAGCAATGCACTCTCAGTTTTCATATGAATTACATTCATCTCTAGTTTCCGCTCCGGAGCCAAGCGTTGCAGTTCTAACCACCCCGAAGCTATGCCAGTTTTGATTATGTTTTTACTATTAACTTGATGTGCTGAAGCTAGTTTAACTCCAAGTGCTGATTAAGCTTTTAAATTCTGCCTCTTCTACAGATCACCTTCCAACAAAAGTTACAAACTAACTGCAGTTGGCAGAGCTCAAAGAAGGCAAAGCAAGTAGGGTAGGAATAAGTTATTGTCTACAAGAAAGCTACACCAGCTCGTATGATTATACACATTTACTCAGTAGTCAGACTAACTGTAGTAGCTTCCCACTTCAGCCATCTGCCGTCTCCAGAAAAAAAGCAAGAATAATGCCCAGGCAACTCGTGTGTAAGCCCATCAAATAAAAGTTTGCCTGAATGGATGCTTGTGTTGAGGTCCTGGCTGATTTTAGGTAAAGAAGTCAACATCCACCTTGCCCTCACCTTTTGTGGCCATAGAGGAAAAGGGGAAGAAAAAGAAGGGAAGACATCCAGTAACATGACATACTTTGAAAAGAGCTCACTCTTAATAAACCAATATATGCACTCACATTGGGCCAGAGATGATCTACCCCAGAAAGTTACCACTAGCCAGAGTTCAGCAGCTCTGGACACAAGGTATTTCTCAAAATAATTAGACGGCATCTGGAACATATTCCCATCTCAAGACATGCTTTTTTGAAACTAGCATAAGTATAAGTACAGAGCTGACATGTGCACGACTACATCTTTTCTCAGTTTTGAAAAACCTACCAAAGACTCCTCTTCTGAGTCAGGGTCCACACAGCCTGGCCCTAGTCCAGCACACTGAAAGGAACATCTTTTACTCTTCTATATAATGATACTTTCTTGACTGGGTAAGACTAGCATAATCATTGTTATAATGGGTTACGGATGCATGCCTGGGTTTTATCCTGTAGTCCCAGCTTTCATTTCAGTTCTGCATGAACAGTCTTATATTCCAACTAACCCTATACTGTTCAAAATGGTAGAGAAGAAGTGGGAAAGCTAGTAAAACACTTAAAATCACCATTCATGCTAGCCACTAGTGTACACCATGTTAAGTACAAGAGACTTTGAACCCATCAATGCTTTGGATACAGCCTTACTAAAGCATAAGTGTGCAAAGAGAAACTTCCAATGTAGCATCAAGGTCTCCGACCAAAGAAAGCAGTATGGGGCATCATCTGCTCACACCACTTGTCCTAGGTTACAGTGTAAAATGTG